GTGAACACGAATAAGGGGTGCGACGCCTCAACTCGACGGTGTTCCAGAGAAGTGAGTGAGTTTGTGAGAGAGGCATCACCCACGAGACGAAATGACCTTTTTTAGACAGAATCCAACAGTTTCAGGGTATGTTTGGGTGCTGCACTCCAAATATGGGGACAGTATCTCAGGACAGGTCGGATCTGTGCCCTATAGATCATAAGCAGAGATGACTGGAAGTGAAATAGCTCCTGGCCCGAAACAGAAAGCCAAGTTTTCGGGATGCAGTTTTAGCAATTGATCTCACGTGATTTTCCCAAGAAAGGTTATTGCTGATAGTAATACACGCTGGTTATACCAAGCATCGAAATGGATGTCTTCAAAAGTATGGTTACTCCTGACAAGCTCATGTTGGGCACATAGTGAGATCAGCAAACTTGGGTTTTGTTTGCATTGAAATCCACCAAGTTATTAGATCCCCTTTCGGGAACTGTTGCCAAGTCCATATTTATGTTGTCAACATTTCTCCCTCGATCGTTTCTGATTTGCCTAGCTGGTATTGGAGCCCTGGAAGAGAAGGCGGTATGGAGGGTACTATCATCCGCGAAGCTGTGTACCTACTGGACATGAAGTTGCTTCCAACAAATCGTTGATATGGAGTAGAAATAGTGTTGTGTGCTAGAATTGATCCTTGCGGAACACCAGCATTTATGATAAGAGAGTCAGATGAAACTCCGCCGACTACTACATGGAGATACATGTATATAAGAAGTTGATGCCAGCGACAAATTAAAATTATCTACAATCATATTTAATTCAGCGATTCAAAATAATCAAAAATTTAATTAATGTTTCATTGATATCGTCATATATCGATCGTGGTACAACTTTATTGATTTTGATACATAAAATAAAATGTTGCCTACATATATCGAAACAAGACCTCAGTGGAACCCCCCCCTCGTTTATGTATCCTATCGAATATTGATATTTGATTTGTTTTTCTTGCCCTTGAAAACATAAATATGCGGTTCGATTTCATATTATTTCATCTCTCGCTCTCGCAATTTTTTGATCATTGGTAATTTTATTATTTCGTTGCCTTCTCGACACCTACAGAGACTGCATTTAACACAGTGACGACAATGGCATGTCATCTTTTCTATTGGTCGATAGAAATCCGCCATGTTCAGGCAAAATCCGCGGCAAATTCGAATGACTTGAACTTTGTGTTGAAAATAGTAGTGTTTTTTTGTGGTTTTCCTGTTTTTTTTTTCATGCAGTATTATTTTCCATGCAGTATTATTTTCCATTCAATCAAATATTTCTACAGAACATAATATTGGCAAATTAAAAAATATTTTTTTAATGATCATAATAATAATGATTCATGTAATAGTTAAGAAATCCGCTGTCCGCCATGTTTAGGCAAATTCCGAGGCGCTGAAGGATTTGAACTTTGTGTCAGAAATATGTGTTTTTCTGTGGTTTTGTTGTTTTCCTCATGCAGTTGCAATTTTATTTTCTATTCGATCAAGATCGAATATTTCTGCAGAACATGATATTGGTAAGTTAGGAAATATTTTTAATAATCATGGTTTAACCTCATTTATTTATTTTTTTAGATTTTCTACCTCCATTTTATGCATATTTATTTTAATGAGGCTGGAAAATGTATTACTCACAGTATGCAGATTTGCAATGACTTTATTGAATTGGACAGATTGGGTGATCCAATAAGTTATGTGAAAGCTTCAAGAAGCCTCTTATGAAGACTGCATGCAGGATGGATTCCTGATGATGAAATATGATATGTTGTCCATAGCTCCAGCTACCCCATGTGATTGAGAAGCTATAGAATACCAAACATATAAAGAAATAAGCAGTGACTTGAAACAGCATGAAATTATACATACTTGAAGTATGTGCTTGGAAAATGTAGAATTATCAGTGTATGTGTATTAAGTGAAGTTCATGGAGCATAGAATATTGGTGGACAATGACAATGTGATGAAAATAGTAAAAAACTACTCATTAATACAAAAAGACATTGATTTGCACAAAGTGGATGCATATTGTCAGTCAGAATGACTAGTGGGATGTTTTGTTTTTACAAAAATGTCAGTTATTTCACTATTCTGTATTTTGACTATGATTTTGACAATATTAATTATCAATAACAAATAATTTTCATGGAAAAAGTTCATTTTATTTCTCACATATCTCACAAATATACTGCCAGACACACATAGGTATTTGATATTAATCAACACTGATGATTAGTATAGGTATATTTTCTTACATCTATGTAGTAATTTCACCATTATTATAGTTATCAATTTACTGATATTCGATTAGTTCTCCTGAACATAACAAATAAGGTATGATTTAACAAAATGATCATCATTATAAAATACAAAATTGAACTGGAAACTACAAAATTTCACAAATCTCTTTCCCTAGTGGATAACAGAGGTACCTACCAACTAGAAAGTGGATTCAAAATGATATTTTCACACCATATAATATCTCATCTGATATGTGTCCTAGAAAGTACATAAAATTTTGATTGATTCCAAGCAAGTAAACATCTAGTCCATTCACATTTTCCATTTCCTTAAACAAATCTTATGGACACACAACACCTACACATTTAGTAGAACTGGCAAGCCCTTTAGTCTATTCATAGAATCAAAATGGTCAGTTCTTGGATTACCAATTATTATCATTGGAAGTACCTATGAGGTCTGTTTTCATTCCTGTGGGTTACCAATGTTACCATTGGTTTACTTGAGAGAGGAATTATATTCCAGATTGCCATGTCACCTTCTCTGATTTTCCAATCAATACACCATTTTTGTTAGATATATGTTGTCTTCACTGTGTTTTTTTCATCCAAAAATTCCTGTATGCAGAATTCTATTTCATAATAGTTTGGAAGTAGACAAAGTATTGGTACATTTTTACCTTAGAAGCTTTACATATTTTCTTTTTCCTTCAAGTTGAAATCATCACTCCTGGAAAAAGTGAGTACTCATTGGAAGTAGTCATTCCTGAAAACATGTAGGTATATGTTTGTTTCTCCCAGAGATCTAATTAGACTGTTTTCAATAACTCAAACTTTTACCTTCTGGTAGAAAACTTGTGATTCCTTTGAGTTTAGACTTATCTCTGAGTTTAGCAAAGTCGGTGTACCTCTCTGTGGGTTTGAGTACCAGCTTCGGAGTCTTTATTGGCTCCTTTTTAATTCTATATTCATCACATTGTTTGAATAGAGTGAAATATAATTATTTAATTCTAAATAACAACAAAATGCTTTTCAAAATATCCAAAACAAAAAACATAACCAACTAAGTAGACAAAGACAGAGCATTTGACATTAGCCTAAACATGGCGGATGCCAGCCCGTTGTCGTCACTGTGTTAAATGCAGTCACTGTATCGACACCTAGCCGCTAACGCCATCACTTAGCCGTGAAACGAACTGTACCGCGCGTATACCTTGAACCCGCTGTGTTTTTACAGTAATCTTCTTATCGGGTCAATTCTCAAAAAATATATTAACGCATAACTCCGCAAGGTGTCGGTACTTGTACCGTATTTCAAGGTTGGTAGAACTGATGATTATTTTGTAGAGGAAGGTTGCCTCGATCGCACCCCGCGAGCAATGAAGTGTCAGTTGTCAGTATTTTCAATATTTTCACATTTCTGTGCGTTTTTCTATATTGTTACCAGCACACCAGCTACCAGTGTTGCCAACACGGCGTATTTACGGCTAGAACTAGCCTTTTCAAGAGGTGATCTGGAGGGTAAATGTTGCATCTGGCGGCTAGCGGATAATTTAGCCATTTGATAAACCTCTAGTGCTTTTTTCTGGCCTCATATAAATCAATATTCAACCAAACTACATTAATCTAGAGTTAACCACCATTTAAAGTAGGTACACGACTTTTATGATTGGCTTATTGCCAGTTCAAACTGGCAATTATAGCTGAATGTCAGTTCAAACTGGCAATTATAGCTAAATGCCAGTTCAAACTGGCAATTATGGCTGAATGCCAGTTCAAACTGGCAATTATGGCTAATTGCCAGTTCAAACTGGCAATTATAAAAAAAGTATCATGTCCGTTCAGCGCTTTCGTAGGGTATCCTGGTAGAAATGTTAGTGCAATGACGGCTAAATAGTAAATATCAAGTAAGCTGCCTACTTGATATTCAGCCGTCATTGGTTAGTGGCAGTGCGTTACCACCGATACTGATAACGGGAAACCTACTACTTTCCAATAGAAGTGGCAATACCGCATGGTCGAAAATATTTTACTTGGGTAGAGGATGTCCGATTTCAAGATTCAAAATTTCAAAGTGATCTGATGTCTGGTTCCAGTGTTGCCAACTTAGTGGATTTCACACTAGAACTGGTGGTTTGAGTTCTCGTTTTGTGAGAAAATATGGCATCTAGTGGATGGTGTTGATTTTGGTGAATTTTTTCAAATAAATGATGAATTCTGGTGGTCGAGGACATATTCGAAATGTCCTTTGTTTGATATGATATTTTGATTTCTACAATGTATAATACTAGAGAAAAGATTTAATAGAAAAACTAGTTTTAACTGAAATCAGTTTCTTACGGTTATGTCCAATTTCGACTGTTTTTGTACGATCTCCAATGTTGCTTTTGTACTTCTTGTTTTTTTATGTATTATTATATACTAAAGTATGTCATTGATGCTATGAATAATTCATTTTGTTCGTTTTGTTTTCTGTTAAAGAAAACACTTTTTTCACCTGATCTGATTTTTTCATCTCGTGTTATCAAGTGATCTGGACTGAAGTTGAAACCACCAGAAAATCACTAGATTTGATAAAATTTTCGCCTGCGGCGCATTTTTTTTCAATACCACTCGGTTTTGTGGTTTTTTGGTGTCTTTTAGGTGGCCAATTTGAGAGTTTTGGAAATCTGAGTTGGCAACACTGTCTGGTTCACAGAAACGTCTAATGTGCCCTCACCGTGAATCACCCTTTATACAATCAAAATTATAATTTCCTGTTCACGATCAAATTCAATGCAATCGTCTCCGATTCTCCTGCATCGGGTTTCAAAATTTCCCATTCAGAAGTTTTTTTCTTCTTTTTCGTTTAAAAAAGTCGTCTGTGGCAAATTCGATTTAGGTTGATGCGAGCTAGGCCCGCTAGGCCCTGGTGCTATGGCTAGTCATTGGCTAGTATGGCTAGACTCTAGTTTCTAATTTATAAATTCTAACCTAAAATTTTGCTCTGTGGCTGGTTCCTGGACTGGTTTTGGTTTTGAATTCCAAGTTTTGAACACTTTGAATTACTTGCACTGTGTTTAGTATTCTGTTAATCAGCTGTATTTGTTTTAACGTTTCCTCTTGACGTTTTTCTTTGTGAATAATGCAAGAATAATGTCTATCAGAAGACTCAAACGGTGTTTTGTTCCGACTTGTGAAAACACCAGTGAGAACAACAAAAATAAACTATTTATATTACTACCAAGTAAACCTGAGATCCGAAAAAAATGGTTTACATCTATTAACGGAAAATACATTACTAAAACTGATTTATATGCATGTGAAGATCATTTTGATGTAAGTATCTAGTTACAGTAATATTAAAAGTATTTTATTTCCTTTATCTCTAGTAAATATATTTATTTCAGCTGAAAAATGATATGAAGAATTGGGTGGAATACAAGCTACTAGCAAAGCGAATGTTCATGAAGGAATCTGCTGTTCCTAGATTTTTCATCAACTCACCTATACCTGAGAAACAAAAATTTGTATCTCAAATATCAGATTCAGAAAGAAAACGGAAGAGAGAGGCAATGGAGAGGTATACAGAACAAGTAAGGAGACTTGCAAAACGTGAAAACAATTTTAATAATGAAAATCCAGATACAAGGCTCATAGGAAACATAGGACTTTCAAAGAAAGACTATTTTGTAGTGCTACAACCAGCAATCAACTCAGATGTGGATGAAACACTGCCAACAACATCATCTGCAAATGATACTGAAGTTTCCAAACTGTTTTTAGTGCCTGAAGCATTTTCTCCCAGCATTAATATTGTAATTTCTGCAGTTCCTGATCATGTTGATCCTCCATCTGCATCTCTTAGGTCAGTCAAAATGAAGCAGATGTTGTCATCTGCTGAAAATTGTTATTTTGATATGACCAAACCACCTTCTAGGAGTATCACTACTACAAACTTCACTTCATACACAGCTGGAAGGTACCTACAGTTCACATTTTCTCTTCTATATTCCTCTAGTTTCCAGTTCAACTATTTTTGATTAGAGATGTGTTATTGGGTCTGTAGATTCATAACAACATAAATAGCAAAATAGCTGAATTATGTATGGAGGTGCTGAAAACATCTTTGTTTGGTGCAATAGTAACTTGCTTGTAAAGTAGATCATTTTCAAAGTCAGTTGGAATGCCACCCCCCATATTATATTTATTGCTGAAGCTGCTCTAATGCCCCAATGATTGGGCTACTAAAACGTGAGGTCAGAGCATATAGGTGAACAGTATGGATTGAGATATATGGATTGAGATATATGGACTGACTGGACTGACACATCATCATGACATCCAACCTATCAATCTTTGAGTTGAGATTTATGGATATTGATGCACAAAGATCTAAAATACCTAATGATATCCTATGAAATATTTATGTTCATTTTATGGCTTGCACAGGAAGAATTCATTGAAGTATTTGTTTTTGAATTCTAGTAATCTCAGTACATGGTTATAAGATGGTATCATGGCTACATTCCAAATTCAACTGGTCAGTACTGTCTTCTGAAATATGAAATCATGAATGCAGTGCCATGATTTCAAACATGTTTCCATGGTTTTCATCAGTAATCAGCAGCAGTTGATCAGCTGGTGAAATTTGAATATCATTCTCATTGTCAATTATTTTAGTAACAGGCATTTCCTAATGTTAAATATTGATGAATTTTAGTTGTTCTTGACGAACACAAAAATGCAATCAACTCTTATTTTTACTTCTTTCAGACTTATAACTTTTCAAAATAGATTAATTAATTAATCAACAGCAATCTCTTCTTTTAACATTGAGTGACAATTGTGACATAGACGGCAGAGAGGTGTTGCCAGACATTCTGTTACTCAATATGAAAACCTGTTACCAATAATGTTAGATATGTTGCACACAATATGGCTTCACCCATATATCTCTTGAAAACTTTGACCTCCACTTTGACTCTATCATTGTTCCTGCCTTCTCAATCGGGGTTCTGTTCAGTCTTTCTACTGAACCATTTAATTCTGGGTTGTAAGGGACAGTAAAATTGTTTACTATACCTTTGACTCTGCAAAAACTTGAAAATTCATTTGAACAATATTCTCTACCATTATCCATGTCTTACATTCAATCTAAGCCAGGAGTTGAGACTTTTTTCCCGTAGTTCTCATGTCATCACAACGTCAGATGAAAACCTTGATACTGGGAATAGTTATTCAGACACCAAGGTAGTAAAGCCTATCATTATTGACCAGGGACTGAGATTATATCCCTAGGCTTCAGCCAAGGGGTATATGAGGTCCCATGGTATAATAATATTCTTTTACTGATGTATGTATATTACATTTTTCTCACCACTAGTGATATATTTCAATCATTAACACGTTAACTGCCCACAATACATTTGAAGTTGTGGTCCTTGGTCCCAAACACTTGATGTAAATCGATTATTTGGTTGTAAATAATCGAAGAAAAAGTGATTTGAAAATGAAACCAAACGTTTGGGTTACGGAGCCTGAAGTAGTTCTAGGCCACGAAACCAATATGAAGGTTTCATGCAAATCAAGGCCCCGTCATGCGCAGTCAAGGTTATTATTGTTTACACTTGATGAATAGCAGTAAGAAGGAAGAAAACTAGCCCAACTGAGGACGTCAAAATCAAGATACAAATGTCAACAGTGTGAGCATTTTTTTGTTGGCTATGTTTTTTGAAGGACATAAAGACATAAAGCGTCCAAATATTCCAATGAAACTATCAGAAGGCATATTTTATTATATGTATTTGTATGTGTTCGTTTATCAAATTCTTGAATAAATCAACTTTTTGACACTATAATTTTCTTACTTTCATATCCACAAAAGAAAAACAAAAATACGTAGGCTCATTCACTATCTAGGTCTACCAGGCCTCTCCTAATATCGCTCTATATGCTTTGATGTTTCCTGAAACCCACTCGTCGAACTTCATCGAATGAACTGCAAATGTATCGTGAGAGCCAGCGTTAGGGTTTCGCAGCCGATTTAACCAAGCATGTGAAACCCAACGTTTGACTTCTTCTAGCCATGACAGCATGAATATCTACTAGATATCTTGTGCCGTTCTTGCGAATCTCGCGTCAGAACAGAGAAATTATTGGGGTTAATTATAACAGAGGTTGCGATTCCCTATCCCTTATTTTTTTACTATAACATAAAATGATGAAAACTTCCTTGCTAGTTAATACTAGTGGTGGAAAAATATACTTCTTCTCTTTCTGTCATTTGGCCTAGTCCTACGATATCCTAATATTTTCGATAAAACAGTTCATAGCCTTCAGGGCTATCCGTCAAAAATTTGTGAATTTCGACTTTAACCTTGACCTCACGTTTTAGTTATGCCAACTGGCGATTCGCAGTAGCCAAGGTCATCATCCGACGTTGCAATGACATGAAAACTACGGGAAAACATTCCTTACTCCTGGCTCAGATTGAAAATAAGACATGTTTTCCCTTAGTTTTCATGTCATCGAAACGTCAGATTCCGTCATTGACCTTGGAAATAGTATACCTATGATGGAGAGAGGGGAGTAGATCTTGGAATAAATTATGCCTCTAAGGAAGGATGCTTTTCCAAAGTTCTGGGATTGTGATATGCAAATGTACACTAACTGAAAGAAAGTGTCTCTCAAATACAGTTTATGAGGAGGGTTATGATGAGGATGTGTTTGGAACAGATACTAATATAGAATCATTGCATAAAATAAAAAGAGAACACCTCCAACAAATTCAGTCAAGTTTGGTTTATTACTGGGCGGTTTTGGCTTTGGCGATGCTAGCGATGGAACGTGTAATAATATTGTTGGTCAATAGTAGTTTACCATTTCATATCGACCAATAATAACTTCACCAGGTTTCATCGCTACCATCGCGAAAGCTAAAATCGCCCAGCAATAAACTAAGCTTCATGCATGCATTCTTCAACATTTATATTTCTTCAATGATGTACAATAATGGATATGTGATGAATGATACCATTTTATTTATACCATAGGGTACCACCAATACCATCGCCAATATCAGACAAATTCAAAATGAACATTTCCCACAAACTATTTGATAAGGAAGCAAAAATCAAGCAAGAACTCCAAGAAGGAGTCACTATCAAATTTGAAAGTGTTGATATTGATGAAACTGACTTGGAAACAGACAATAAAATAGATATACGAGAAACATGTTTAGCTCCAATTCAAGAGAAAGTTTTCAAAGTTGATGGATATAATGAACAATTCAATGATGTAGAAGAATTGAAATTTATGAACACAGTTTCAGTTAACTGTGATGATCATAATTTAGAAAATATTCCTGGTATTCAGGATGAAGGCTTTGAAATTGTGAGAGAAATTATTGATGAAGAAAATGAATTAAAACAAGAATCATATGATAATATAGATATCAAAAATGAAATGGATGAAGTTGTTACCGAGTATATTTTTGCTTGTTCTGTCTGTAATGAGATGTATGAAACCAAGGAAGAATTGATCGAGCACAAGATAGAGACTGCCGAATGTCATGAACACAAACAATGTGAAAAATGTGGGATTAAATCAGAAGAAGGTTTTGCCTGTATTTGGGACCTCATGCAACACATGGAAGCTGAACACAAAGTAGAACATCTGGGTAAGATCTCCCATGTGTTATTGAAATATTAACATAGTCGGTAACTCTCAAGTGAGACCAAGTGAAGGGTTAGACATTTTGTGCTATTTGTTGAACGAAGTTGTTCTTGCTCTTGTTCTAAAATTATTCTCATCTATCATTCGGTTGCCTCCTTATGAGCAACCCTCACAAGTCTTCGAGAGACTTGTGCGAGCAAGGAATGACGGGGGCCTTATCTTTCAACGTGTTGTCCCAAACACTTTCTTAGACCATCAGAAAAATGCTGCAGTTGTGGGAATCGAACCCACTAAAACCGCAAATCCATCGTGAATAGAATACTGACGCATCAACCACGCGACTAACCTGGCTTGATAATCACCAATTCAACAGTTATTAATCTGATAAAAACACAATCATTTCTACAGTAGCACTGATTTTATACAATGTTGACATTTTACATTTTTGTCGCCAATCTCACAATACGAAATGTGAAAATAAGGTCAATTATTTTCACAAATATTTCATCAGCAAAAATACTCTTCTGACTTCTGAGATATGTTTTTGGTGATAACAATTCTTTGTCTTGTTCTTTTCACACCTGTTGCTTATCAACAAGGAATATAAGTAATACCTACTATCAAAATAAAGCAGTTAATGAAGTTAATACTCATTTGAAAAATTACCTACCACCAAAACATGTGAAAATTGAGAGTACTTGAATAGTATTGTCAACTTGCTTTGAGAATTCTTTAGATTGTCCCGTTTCATTATCTTTCATTTTATAATCAATATCAAGCCTTTTCACAGAAATGTCCTTGAGTGTGAAGAAAATAACTGAAAAAATAAAATAATTAAAGAAACTTCACAAACGATAAGATTTCCACAAAATTCTCAAACACACGACATGTTTCGCTAACACAGTAGCTTCTTCAGGTGATATATACTGGTACGGTGAACTAAACTAACCTTGGCTTGCTTATATATACTACTTTCCCAACCTGAAGGATTAGTTACCTGTGGACAGGTACGGTAAACCTCCATACAATATCTACATTAAAATACCGGATTAACTTGAAAGGGTTGATATAAAATACATATTATTACTTACTAAGAAAACACATTCAACAGTGGTGAACCATTGAGGTCTAACTGATCGTCAAGTAAAATGTCAGAATTTTTGAGTTTGTTGATTTCTAATGATTCAAAATGGTTGAGTTTTATTCCTTTATTTTCTACGTGTAGAATTTCGAAATTATCATCAAAACTGGGTTTCTTCTAATATATGGTTGGCGTATGTTGAATTTGTTTTCTTTTTTCAAAAAATGCATCTTATGTTCATGAATGCGCCTACTAAACGAAAACGTACGACCTGACTGACAAGATCCACAGTTGAGTTTGTATACCCCTAATTTTTCGAATTGAGAAGTTTTGTCTTTATTATTTTTGATAAACCTTCCCAATGTGTCATTTGTTCTATATGCTACTTTTAAGTCCTGTTCATGTAGAAATGCAGCTAATCGTTCAGTTGATGATCCGAAATAGGTCAAAGTTCTATAATTTTGATTATTATTTTGATGTTAGGATAAACTACGTGAATAGCTTCATTATGGAGTTTCTCAGAAATAATACTGTCCAAATGATCGTTGTATCCGTTAACTAAATCTGTTTTATGATATAGAGTCCTTTGTTGAAATTTATTTCCGAAAGAGCGAAAGAGGGACATTCACTATTTGCTATCAACCATATCAAGATAACCCGGTACACCGTATTTTATTGAATGTAGATATTGTGTCTATTTTCCGGAAAATGAAGGTTTATCGAACCTGTCCACAGGTAATTTTTATCCTCTAGGTTAGATGGGAAAGAAGAATATAGAAAAGAACGGCAAGCCAAGGTAACTTTAGTACATTGTACCAGTATTTCACCTGATGAAGCTACTATGAAACATGTCGTGTGGAAATATTATCGTTTGTAAAGTTTATACATAAAAAATTCATAATGTCAGGGTTCCTCGTTAATAATATATTACTACATAGGTAGCAGTGGGGGCACATATTTAACTTGGATTACCCATTTTTCCATGCAAAGGTACCTAACTATGTTATTTTGTACATATAGACACCCTTTGAAACATTGAAGTCCTACCCGTGCTGTTCTCCTAGTAAATTTTCAAATATCACCACAAATTGACTAATATATCAAAGGTAGAATGAAGAGTTTTATCAACATCATTATCGATGTTTTATTCAATATATTTCTCTCCTGTAGGCTATAGGCACATATTATCTCATAGTAGAACCCTCTTCTTTTCAGACGATTTGGAGCTGCTTGAAATTCAGAAGGCTATTGATAAGGAGAAAACTAGTGTAATATAAGTGTATTGATCACGAGAAAACCCACACCGATGAGAAGCCCTTCAAGTTTCAAGGTTGTCTCAAACCCATTCTAACTGATTAGGAACTGCAGAATTCGAAAATGCAATGATATACAGGGTGTTTCATTTGAAAATCAAAGGTTATTACCACTCCCGGTGAAACTGGAAATGGAAAATAAAACCTTTTTATGTCAAAACATGAAGTTTATCAAGTTGACTGGTCATTTCAAATTTTAAATACTCAACTCTCAAACTAAATGAAAAACAAGGGGGTGTACCATGATCTTGTCACACCTGGTACCTATATTGATTGAATTTGAAAGGATGCCCAAATGAAAATAAAATTGGACGGCTTCGAAAGTTCTTTCAATTATCCTTATAATTTACAACGAATTCATCCACCACTCAATACGACGGACGCACTTTATTAAAAGCCTATGTGCAATATATTTTTGAATTCAGCTCATCATGGAGATTCCAAAAATTCAATAACATATATAGGATGTTTCATTTGAAAAATTTTTTGAGGTCGTCACTACTCAAACATGTAACACCCTGTATATTACATTTTTCTCGCCTTCGGCTTTTAGCTGTTAAGATGCCATTCGCGGAATCACTAGAAGACAAACTGTCATAATAATCACCGAATATTTTCGGCTCAACAGTATCGATCACTTGTGGTATTACATATTATGACAAAAGTTTATGTGGAACAAAAAAACTTCACGATGCAAATATATGATATTATATATGCAAATACAAGTTATTTTGTTAAACCAATTGAATCGACCGTACGCGACGAAATTCAAATACAACAGTTATAGAGTTTCATGTGAGTACCTACTATCACGTAATATTATTATCATATCTATAGGGTGTACAAATTCCGAGATATCGGCTGATGATGAGTTTTCAATTGCATTTATGAATGCAGTGTCAAAATAGCTACACTTGAAAAACTTGATTGAAGATGCCGAAACTTCATTATTTCAAATGGAACACCCTTTATTTTTTTATGTTAACGGTTCCAGATCCAAAACTTTCACACCCTGTATCTGGAGAACTGAACACTTGAAGACCCTATCCCCATCTCAGCGTTATTGTCGGTCGAATTTCAAAACATTACATGTGACAAAATGACTTACCATCTGGAAAAAATACAACTTTCACATACTCAAATGAAAATACAATCACTAAGCCGAATATGATTTCCAATTTTCCACTCTTAAATACTTGAAGTTCTTTTTTATTATCACTTGAATCAACTGTCCGCGATGGAGTCTGGAACGAATCTGCTGATTGGTTTGATTCATCATTCAAATGAATAATTAGTTACGTCTTCCTTTCAACCGATTAATTCCCGAGAAAGTATTCCGATATCGATAGGTAGGTAAACGGAGTGGGTGATAAGAAATTTTAGGATATTTTCTTTCATTTTCTTATTTACACTAGGTGTTTCTGAAATAAGTACATATTCAGCAAATCAATGAAATATATGATTCATCATTCGAAGTACATTCATATCAGATGATAAATATCATCAGATGAATTACTTGGATGTTGAATCTGAGACATACCTGAATAATATATTCAACGTCCGTAACTGGATTGCTACATATCCACTTTGTTCCCGAATAGTGTTTTTTCCAGTAGGCATCTTCCACATTTTCAATAATGTACGTGGGTTATATTGATGACCTTGAAGGCCAAACGATGTGCTGCTCGAATCTAAAACTGAGGATCAATTTCAAATTTGAATCGTGGCACCAACATAGAATATTGGATATTGTTTTCAATATGGGTAACTGGAACGCGATATATTTTTGTAATTCATCAATTCATCAACTATCTCAATGAAGACGGGACAGGCAGATAAACAACAATTTTCTCTGCAATGAAGAACACTGTATATACCTAGCCCACCATGCGTCCACCTCCTTTGCAGAGAGGGTTTATAAACGCCGAGTTGATACTCTCCCCTCGTAAGGGTACCTGTCGTGTTTCCATAGAGACATAAAGCTGAATATCTGTCTATCTGTCTGCTTGAGAATCTGGTAAGGTAATCAATATATCGCCTTCCGTACGAATATAATGATCTGAATTCTCTAAAGTATACTCTGGTCAGTTCTCTTTGCGCATCTTCTGTTTGGTCCGTATTTACTGGATGGTTTTCTCCTATTGAGTGGCAAGTATCAAACACTGCTTCTTGGATCTGCAACTAAACATCACATTCAAATCGAAGTACATTTGAATCAGAAAATATCATTAGAGGAAATACATAGATGTTGAATCTGAGACATACCTGAATAATATTTTCAACGTCTATAACGAGATTGCTACATATCCGCTTTTTTTCCGTATAGTGGTATTTCCAGAAGGCATCTTCCACATGTTCAATTGCGAGGGTTATATTAAGGACCTTGAAGGCCGAACAATGTGTGCTGCTCAGATCTAAAACTATAAGTATCAATTTCAAATTTGAAATGAAATTTGAGGCCTACATAGAATATGAATCTATGAAAAGTCTGGATATTTGTTTTCAACATTCATAACTGGAAACGCGATATATTTTTGTAATTCATCATCATTTCATCAACTATCTCAATGAAGACGAGGCAGGCAGATAAACAACACTTTTCTCTGCAATGATACTGCAATACTTCAGAAATAATCTTTTATTTCCACTCATGAAGCTACGTTGTCAAGTTACCAATTATAATCAATTTATCATAAAGATTAGAGTCCTGTCGTTGGATAAAACACGAGATAAAACATAATAAGAGTAAGCAATGATATTATAGATCATTCTTGACTTCATCGAGCAACCAGCATATAACAAAATATCATGTTGATGTTGAAGACTTGGCAACAATGTGCCGAATGCTGAGAACTGACAAGGCACCGCCCACAATTCGTGCGCCGGGTTGTCACGTTTACCCTCAAATATCCTCTAGTGTGAATAAATATACTAATATCAATCTTAACACAAATGTATTATAAACAATAAGCCACAACAGATGAGAGAATATTTTGAGACAATTGATTTTTATGTCTAATTAGAAATATAACGAATACAAAATTGAAAATTTATGGATTATTGAATAGCTAATATTTCCTAAGTTCCAATCGTATTTCAACATATGGTAACTATGCTATGGTCTGTCCGTACTAACTAAATCGTGACGTCAGTTTTTACTCGCGGTAAATTTTTAGCCGTTTGAAAATTACTTGGCATTATTGTTGATCTCAGCAATTTAAAAAGCAATAAAAAAAATAGTCAACTCGCCTATTTCATTTTTGTGGATGATTCCGTGGCTGTTAGCAAGCAGTGTACATTACTGAAGATGACTCCACTTGGTCATAGTGTGTACTTTCAGTATATATCTACCGTTTCTGCAAATTTCAGAATCCTAACTAAACAAATACGAAAGATTCAGGGATGATTCCATTAGAAGCGAGACACACTGTGCAATGTTCATCTTGAGTCAATTCTGATCTTCATTTCTCTTCATCTGAAGTTTCATCTTCAATGAGCTTGAGATTTTAAAAATCGGTTGGGAAGGAAAAAAGTTATGACTGCAAAACCTAAAAGTTAATTTCTCGATATCACTCTGTAAGTAAAAGGGATAATAAGACAATTGGAAAAACGTCTCATGGTAATCTGCTGTCAAAGTTGAAAAAAAAAGTTTTCGTTCATTTGGGATCCTTTTGAAAATTCAAAAATTTTTCACAGTTTCAGGTGACACCCTGTAGCGAGTTAATATGAAGAACCTCATGTTTTAAATAGCTGAAGGACTGGGCTAGCGAACAGTGTGAACCAAATTCAAATTGTTCAAATCAGAAAAAAGTTATTCATATTTTAACAGGGGGTTAAAAAGTTATGACTAATCACCTTACCCCGGAATGCGGGCTGGATATAAATATAATATACCATAGGAAATTATACAATTAGTACAGGGTATTTCGAGACAAACCAATCTGAGTATAAATAATAAGTGTTTGACAATTCGTTTGTGACCACTTCACGAGTCGCGTACAAAAGCATATATTAAAATGTTTAGAATGTACCTAATGGACAACATTTCGAGCATTCATTGTGAAAATGTGATATTTTGTTTATATTATACTTTTGTTACTTTCGTTCCTCCTAATTCTGTTATTTTCTGTACTTTCACAGTGAATCTAGCTTTTTACCTAGATATGCTTGATAAGCTGATTTTTGATAGAGTTGTTGGAAACTTTGAGCCATAGTTGATGAAATTATTTTGTAATCTCACAAACTTCCTCTTGTTCATTGGTGTCAATTCAGGATACTGTAGCAGATCAAATACCGCTACCCTGTATATCCGTAAAGCGTACAACCGTTTAGAGTTTAGGCTGTTTTCTTTTATTCTTATCATCGCTGCCTGTTCGTGATTTTTATAAAAGTGTCTACTTTTTTACTATGGTTCGTGCATGACAAAATATTTTACAGTGAACTGCTCAGGTGACGGTACCTGTAGCCGACTTTTCGTGCGTTGGGGCTTAGTTAGCTAGATGACGTCCTCTGGACGATTTGATTTAATATTATTGAATATTTCAGCACAGTTTTTTCTATTGGAAAAAACTTGTACTTTGATTAAGAGTTAGTGAGTTGCTTTCGATTCCGACCATTTGCGATTAGAAAACGTCTGCCACGTTTTTGGCCTTACTTCTTTGGAACATTTTACTCAAGTTGAAAGTGCTGAGGTCTTATATATAACCTACAGAGTATTCCTCTCGTGGTGTGCCTGCCTTTTAGGTATGTATTACTAGAATTTTGATTACTATTGTATAATTTTATCATTTGGCCATAAGAATATTTTTGCTTGTTGATATTTATATTTTGTACTTTCTTTGTATTATGTTCACTATAACTATTCGTTTTGAATGTCTCCAATACCGTCATTTCTCGTATCATGTATTATAATTTCGTGGTAATGCCTTTTAGCTTGGGAACACGTTCGCTAAGATAATTGTGTCGTCTCTGGCCCCCTGAACACCAATAAAGTGTATCGCACTGAGCGATTCAAGTTTGGAAAGCCGTTGTTTTCTTCCTAACCGAGAAACACCCACTATATCCACCATCAACCCCTGAGAGTCTTCCTACAATACATTTGGTTGAATTTCTGGAAGTTCTGGCAATGATTTGGTCACATTGTCCGTGTATAATAAATAACTTCATAAGAACTTCGTTTGAATAATCGATATTCGCGTTCATTCTGGGAGATTTTTTGAAACACTGTCAATAACAATTACTGAATAACTCATTAATGTCACCGAACTGTCATGAGTTTGATATTTCCATGGCTATCTGAAATTAACTTTTTCATAAAATTATATTTTTCACAAAATAGCGGCTTTATCAAGAAAACTTGATGATTTTGGTATAGGGACATGCTATGTCATCTTATAGCATTTTTATTCGTCTTTCAATTTATTGAGTAAAAAACAGTGCGTTCCATTTGAGAAAATGAACTTTTGACCACTTGTATGAACAACGGATATAATAATAATTTCAGCACGCCCTGTATGATATGGAGGCGACTTCTCGGTGTGAATTGAATACATCAAGCCTGTCCAAACCACCACTAAAATATCAACTCTTTATGATTCGAGAGCCCTGATTTACATAAGTTTTGGATCATATTTAACACAAATCATTTTTTAGCTCGAAAACCGATAGAGATAGGTATAGGGATTTATTAACAAAAGAGTATTGTAATGAAAAGGCAATTCTAAAAATTTGTTAATTTACCATTTAAAAAAATGAAGTTGCTAGGACTT